GCATTTTACATACAGTGGAACTTTCAAAATTGGAGTCAATCCTCTCAAACCCTACTGTTGCTTTATCAGTTAAGTTATGTAAAATCCCAAATTCTTTGTTGTCATTTCAACAGTTTTTACATCTCCACCAGGAATAGATTCCAATCAAGAAACCATTTTCTCTGTTCATCCATAAGAAGCAACTTCTCATCTATTCAAGTTTTATCATGAGATGCTGTAATTCAGTCAGAACCTCAGGCTTCACTTCTAATTCTATTTCTCTTGCTATTCCCACTAAATCTGCAGTTCAAAACTTACTTCACTGAAGTTTTGAACTCTTCAAAGTCATCCATGAGGGTTGGAATCAATTTCTTCCTAACTTCTGTTAATGTTAATATTGACCTCTTCCCATGAAGCACAAATGTTCTTAACAGCATCTACAACGGTGAATCCTTTCCAGAAGGTTTTCAATTTACTTTGCCAGATCCATCAGAGGAATCACTATCTATTGTAGCTACAGCATTACAAAATGTATTTCTTAAATAATAAGACTTGTAAACTAAACCCACTCCTTGACAAATGGGCTGCAAAACGGATATTGTGTTAGCAGGCATGAGAACATTAATATTGTTTTCCATGAAAGCTCTTGGATGACCAGGCGCTTATTATCAATGAGCAGTAACATTTTGAAAAGAATCTTTTTCTCTGAGGACTCATCAGGCTAAAAATATTCAGTAAACACTTTGTAAACAGATGTGCGGTCATCTGTCTTTGTTGTTCCATCTATAGGTCACAGGCAGAGTAGATTTATTATATTCTTAAGGGCCCTAGGGCTTTTAGAATGGTAAACCCACAATGGTTGCAACTTTAACTCACCAGATGCATTAGCCCCTAACCAAAAGAGTCAGCCTACCTTTTTAAGCATTGAAGCCAGGCACTGAATTCTCCAGCTATGAAAAGCCCTAGATGGCACCTTCCTCCAATATATGGCTGTTTCATCTACATTTGAAAATCTATTGTTTGGTGTAGCAACCCGTATGAATTATCTTAGCTAGATTTTCTGGATAACCTGCTGCAGCTTCTACATCAGCACTGGCAGTTTTATGTTATGGAGATGACTTCTTACTTTTAAACCTCATGAGCCAACCTCTGCTAGTTTCAAACCTTTCCTCACTTCCTCAGCCTTCCCAGAATTAAAAGTTAGGGCCTTGCTCTGGATTAGGTTTTGGCTTAAGGAAATGTTGTAGCTGGTCTGACCTGCTCTCTAGACCACTCAAACTTTCTCCATATCAGCAATAAGGCTGTTTTGCTTTCTTATCATTTGTTCAGTGAAGTTCTTACCAAAAGTTCACTGCAGTAGTGCTTTCACTTCCTTCAAGAACTTTTCCTTTCCATTCACAGCTTGGCTGTTTGGCACAAAAGGCCTAGCTTTCAATATGCCTTCCTCATAAGCTTAATCACTTCTACCTGTGGATTTAAAATGAACACATTTGATTCTTCCTTTCACTTGAACATTTAGATGCCATTGTAAGGTCATTAACTGGCTTGATTTCAATATTGTTCTGTCAGGAAATAGGGAGGCCCAAGGAGGAGAGAAACAGGGAAACCGCCCAGTTGGGTTGAGCAATCAGAACACATAACATTTATCAATTACATTTGCAATCTCACCTGTGCACAGTTCATGGCACCCTAAAACAATGACAATAGTGATATCAAAGATCACTGATCACCATAACAAATATAATAATGAAATATTTAAATATTGGGAGCATTACCACAAAGTGACACAGCAACATGAAGAGAGCAAATGCTGTTGGATAAATGGCACTGACAGACTTGGTCAATGCAGGGTTGCCACAAATTATTAATTTGTAAACAACACACTATCTATGAAGTGCAGTAAAGTGAAGGACAATAAAATGAGGTAAGCCTGTACTTGTTATTCCCTAAAAGATGTGCTGTACTTAATTAACCATTCTCCTGAAAATCCTATAAAATATTTCATTGTCTATTAAGAGCAATTTTATCTCTAGGTTATACACCTATTAATACAGAACTCTAGATCCTAGGTTATGTGCATTTAAAACATTTAGCTACTGTCAGACTGCTCTTCAAAAAGGCTGTACCACTTCACTATCACCACTAGTACTAGTACAAGAGTTCTCGTTTTGCCTCAATCACAAAAGCACAGAGAAATCCTTTACATTTTTAACAGAAAGTGGGCAAAAGAATATTTTATTGCAACTGCATTTCTGTGATTTTTAGTGACACTGATTATCTTTCCATATATATTTTTTTCATTTCTTCTACAAATTATCTACTAATTAACACTGAATTGCTATAGATCCAATTGACAACCTTCATCAAATACTTGATAAACTCCAGAGATAATCAAAATTATACTCTTCTCCATGAAACTAAGAGAGAGAAAAAAGCAGGAGTAGGCTCACACAAAACACTCAGCATTTCTTAATACAGCTTTATTTATAATATTTACTCTTCATCTCATCAAAATGAATTTTAAACTTATAAAAATCTTTTAATTTCTAAATATTTCTAAAATAGATACTATTTACATATAATTTCAGTTAAAGTTCTATACAGGTCTAGTGCCCTACCTCCTTACTTCTTTGTATGTCAGGAAGATAGATTAGTATATTTGAAAAATGTGAGCTTTGAGCAATTAAAGCCTAGATAAATCTATTTAACTGGTATTTTTCTCCTGCATATCACAAGGCTACAATAATAAGCAAGAGGTTTCGACCCACTGAAATTAGTAACTAACTTTTACAGCTTTGATTTCACTTTTAAAATAAGTGTAATTTCCCTGCTGCAGCCACTGCCCAACAATGTTGTCTCAGTGAGTAGAGCAGCCGCTGCCCCTGCAAAACAATGGTGAGGAAGGTAAGGAGCCTTTGCCCCTCCCAGCTGGCTCGACAGTTTCTGAGTGGAGCTACTGATGAACAGCAGCAGCAATGGCAATGGGAAAAATGGGGGGCTGGAATATGTACCTTTCTCATCCTCTATTCACAATGGAGACACGGAGAAGATTCCTTTGGATGCACAACATGAATCTGGCCAGAGTACTTCAAGAGGCAGTTCTCACTGTGACAGCCTTTTCCCACAAGAAGATGGGCAGATTATGTTTGATGTAGAAATGCACTTGAGAGAAAGAGGGTGATGCTTTTAAGAAAAGTGCAGACTGGGTAGTCAACTGGTCCAGTTGACCCGAAAACATTCCACATAAGGAGTTCCACTTCAGGCACCCCAAATGCTCTGTTTCTCTGCATATGAGGAAAACTGGAGCCATGAAGAGGGGCGTTTTTCCCCACAGAATTTCTTAAGGTATACATTCCATCTCTCTTCCTTTCTCATATTTTGGGGCTAGACATCTACACTGGAAAGTGTCTGAGCACTTCTGCCAGCACCTACTGAGGAAAAAAAAGCCCCTGGAAAAGCCCCTGACCTGTGAAGTGGTGTATTGTCATGGCAGTTTATTCGAACTTGAGACCATTGTAAGCATGACCCCCTATTTTTACATATGCAAGTTCCAGTACCTCTCAAATCCAGTATTTTATTCAAACTCAGTTGAGGCATTTTACTAATCTGATTCCCTTTTGGCTCTTAAGACATTTCTTTATAATTTCCTAACAGAGTTTACTGTTATTTAGAAATTTGCAAGGGCTTCTTTTCCACAAAGGCCACCAGCAGATCATAATTTTGTCAACAATGCTATTGTGTCCTTTCGGTACCACCAGATTTAGACCTGCATCATACATAGTATAAGTTTCATCCTTAAAAGATAACTGCTATCTCTCTCTTAAAATGAGATCAGGTTAGCAAATGATTTAAGTTTTGTTGTTTTGTTTTTCAAGACCAAGACAAACTTCCCTAAGCTTGAATTTATAGTTATTAAAAAGACAACAAACAGAAAAAAAATCAAAAGACACAAGAAAAACATCCTGGGCAATAAAAGTTATTTTAAACCAAAAAAAAGTGCAATTTGAACATTAAAGATGATTCCTCTTTTTTAAGTGTTTAATTATGCAAATAAGTCTTCCTTAATTCTTGTTATCTAGTGATTTATCCATTTATACATTTACTGATTAATAATACATGTAGAAATCATTTTGTGGGGTTTTAGAAACAAAATATAGAACTACCATACGATTCAGTAATTCTACTTTGGGGTATTTAATCTAAAGAAAATGACATCACTAACTCAAAAAGATATATGCACCTCCATGTTCATTGAACTTTATTTACAATAGTCAAGATATGGAAACAATCTAAGTGTTCAATGATAGATGAGTGGATAAAGAAAATGTGGAGTACTATCCAGCATTTAAAAAAATGAAATCTCCCCATTTTTGACAACATGGATGGACCTTGAGGGCATTATGCTAAGTGAAATAAGTGAGGCAGAGAATGACACCATTATAACCTCATATGTGGAATCTTAAAAACAGAAAACAAAAACAACTCTGAGCTCACAGATACAGAAAACAGACTGGTGGTTACCACAGATGGGGGCTGGGTAGTAAAATGGGTGAAGGGGGTCTGAAAAGTACAATTTTCCAGTTATAAAGTAAGTATGTCATGGGGATGTAATATACAGCATGGTGACTATAGTTATTAAAACTGTATTGTCTATTTGAAAGTTGCTAAGGTAAGTCTTAAAAGTCCTCATCACAAAAAAAAAAAAATTTTTGTAAAAAAAAAAATGAGTTCATACATGTACTGTTTTGTACTTTTTTCTTAAATTGTTTTATAGATTTTCCATGTCAGTCCATAAAAATCTGTATCATTCTTTCTAATTAGCATATATAGGCATTCCTCAGAGATATTGCGGGTTTGGTTCCAGACCACTGCAATAAAATGAATAATGCGATAAAGCAAATCACGTGAACTTTTGGTTTCACAGTGTAAATGTTTACCATATACTGTAATTTATTAAGTGTGCAATAACATTATATATAATACAAAAATGTACATACCTTAAGTAAAAAATACTCTATTGCTAAAAAACGCTAACCATTATCTCAGTTTCAGAGTCATAATCTTTTTGCTGGTAGAGGATCTTGCGTTGATATTGATGGCTGCTGATTAATCAGGGTGTGGCTGCTGAAGGTTGGCATGGCTGTGGCAATTTCTTAAGACAATGAAGATTACTCTATCAATTGACTCTTTCACAGATGATTTCTCTGTAGCATGCAAAACTATTTGACAGCATTTTACATACAGTGGAACTTTCAAAATTGGAGTCAATCCTCTCAAACCCTACTGTTGCTTTATCAGTTAAGTTATGTAAAATCCCAAATTCTTTGTTGTCATTTCAACAGTTTTTACATCTCCACCAGGAATAGATTCCAATCAAGAAACCATTTTCTCTGTTCATCCATAAGAAGCAACTTCTCATCTATTCAAGTTTTATCATGAGATGCTGTAATTCAGTCAGAACCTCAGGCTTCACTTCTAATTCTATTTCTCTTGCTATTCCCACTAAATCTGCAGTTCAAAACTTACTTCACTGAAGTTTTGAACTCTTCAAAGTCATCCATGAGGGTTGGAATCAATTTCTTCCTAACTTCTGTTAATGTTAATATTGACCTCTTCCCATGAAGCACAAATGTTCTTAACAGCATCTACAACGGTGAATCCTTTCCAGAAGGTTTTCAATTTACTTTGCCAGATCCATCAGAGGAATCACTATCTATTGTAGCTACAGCATTACAAAATGTATTTCTTAAATAATAAGACTTGTAAACTAAACCCACTCCTTGACAAATGGGCTGCAAAACGGATATTGTGTTAGCAGGCATGAGAACATTAATATTGTTTTCCATGAAAGCTCTTGGATGACCAGGCGCTTATTATCAATGAGCAGTAACATTTTGAAAAGAATCTTTTTCTCTGAGGACTCATCAGGCTAAAAATATTCAGTAAACACTTTGTAAACAGATGTGCGGTCATCTGTCTTTGTTGTTCCATCTATAGGTCACAGGCAGAGTAGATTTATTATATTCTTAAGGGCCCTAGGGCTTTTAGAATGGTAAACCCACAATGGTTGCAACTTTAACTCACCAGATGCATTAGCCCCTAACCAAAAGAGTCAGCCTACCTTTTTAAGCATTGAAGCCAGGCACTGAATTCTCCAGCTATGAAAAGCCCTAGATGGCACCTTCCTCCAATATATGGCTGTTTCATCTACATTTGAAAATCTATTGTTTGGTGTAGCAACCCGTATGAATTATCTTAGCTAGATTTTCTGGATAACCTGCTGCAGCTTCTACATCAGCACTGGCAGTTTTATGTTATGGAGATGACTTCTTACTTTTAAACCTCATGAGCCAACCTCTGCTAGTTTCAAACCTTTCCTCACTTCCTCAGCCTTCCCAGAATTAAAAGTTAGGGCCTTGCTCTGGATTAGGTTTTGGCTTAAGGAAATGTTGTAGCTGGTCTGACCTGCTCTCTAGACCACTCAAACTTTCTCCATATCAGCAATAAGGCTGTTTTGCTTTCTTATCATTTGTTCAGTGAAGTTCTTACCAAAAGTTCACTGCAGTAGTGCTTTCACTTCCTTCAAGAACTTTTCCTTTCCATTCACAGCTTGGCTGTTTGGCACAAAAGGCCTAGCTTTCAATATGCCTTCCTCATAAGCTTAATCACTTCTACCTGTGGATTTAAAATGAACACATTTGATTCTTCCTTTCACTTGAACATTTAGATGCCATTGTAAGGTCATTAACTGGCTTGATTTCAATATTGTTCTGTCAGGAAATAGGGAGGCCCAAGGAGGAGAGAAACAGGGAAACCGCCCAGTTGGGTTGAGCAATCAGAACACATAACATTTATCAATTACATTTGCAATCTCACCTGTGCACAGTTCATGGCACCCTAAAACAATGACAATAGTGATATCAAAGATCACTGATCACCATAACAAATATAATAATGAAATATTTAAATATTGGGAGCATTACCACAAAGTGACACAGCAACATGAAGAGAGCAAATGCTGTTGGATAAATGGCACTGACAGACTTGGTCAATGCAGGGTTGCCACAAATTATTAATTTGTAAACAACACACTATCTATGAAGTGCAGTAAAGTGAAGGACAATAAAATGAGGTAAGCCTGTACTTGTTATTCCCTAAAAGATGTGCTGTACTTAATTAACCATTCTCCTGAAAATCCTATAAAATATTTCATTGTCTATTAAGAGCAATTTTATCTCTAGGTTATACACCTATTAATACAGAACTCTAGATCCTAGGTTATGTGCATTTAAAACATTTAGCTACTGTCAGACTGCTCTTCAAAAAGGCTGTACCACTTCACTATCACCACTAGTACTAGTACAAGAGTTCTCGTTTTGCCTCAATCACAAAAGCACAGAGAAATCCTTTACATTTTTAACAGAAAGTGGGCAAAAGAATATTTTATTCCAACTGCATTTCTGTGATTTTTAGTGACACTGATTATCTTTCCATATATATTTTTTTCATTTCTTCTACAAATTATCTACTAATTAACACTGAATTGCTATAGATCCAATTGACAACCTTCATCAAATACTTGATAAACTCCAGAGATAATCAAAATTATACTCTTCTCCATGAAACTAAGAGAGAGAAAAAAGCAGGAGTACCAGTACTTGTATCAGACAAAATAGACTTTAAAACAAAGAAAGTCACAAGAGACAAAGAAGGACATTACATAATGATAAAGGAGTCAATCCAACAAGAGAATATAACCATTATAAATATCTATGCACCCAACAAAGAAGCACCTACATATGTGAAACAAATACTAACAGAATCAAAGGGGGATATAGAATGGATATATTGATTTTAGGAGACTTCAACACATCACTCACTCCAAAGGAGAGACCAATCAGACAGAAAATAAGTAAGGAGACAGAAGCATTGAACAACACATTAGAACAGATGGAACTAACGGACATCTACAGGACACTTCAGTCAAAAGAAGCAGGATACACATTCTTCTCAAGAGCACATGGAACATTTTCAAGAACAGATCATATACTAGGCCACAAAAAGAGCCTCGTTAAATTCAAAAAGATTGAAATTGTACCAATCAGCTTCTCAGGTCACAAAAGTATGAAACTAGAAATAATTTATGCAAATGAAAAAGCACACAAACACATGGAGGCTTAACAACATGTTCCTAAATAATCAATGACCAAATAAAAAGAGATCAAGCACTATATGGAGACAAATGACAACAATAATTCAAAACCCCAAAATCTGTGAGACACAGAGAAGGCTATGCTAAGAGGAAAGTATACAGCCCTACCTAAGGAAAGAACAAGCCCATATGAAGAGTCTAAACTCACAATTTAGGAAATCAGAAAAAGAAGAACAAATGAGGCCTAAAATCAGTAGAAGGAGGGACATAATAAAGATTACAGCATAAATAAATAAAACTGAGAAGAATAAAACAATACAAAGAATCAATAAAAGCAAGAGCTGGATCACTGAGAAAATAAACAAAATAGATAAACCCCTGGCCAGACTCATCAAGAAAAAAAGAGAGTCTACATACATAAACAGAATCAGAAATGAGAATGGAAAAATCACTACGGATACAACAGAAATACAAAGAATTATGAGAAAATACAATAAAAAATTATATGCTAACAAACTGGATAACCCAGAAGAAATGGACAACTTTCCAGTAAAATACAACCTTCCAAGGCTGACCTAGGAAGAAACAGAAAATATGAATAGACCAATTACCAGCAACAAAATTTAACTAGTTATCAAAAAACTACCTAAGAACAAAACCCTTGGACCAGATGGCTTCAGAGCAGAATTTTATCAAACACTTACTGAAGACCTAATAACCATTCACCTTAAAGTTTTCCAAAAAGTAGAAGAGGAGGGAATACTTCCAAACACATTCCAGGAGGCCAGCGTCACTTTAAAACCAAAACAGGCAGACACAACAAAAAAAGAAAATTACAGACCAATACCCCTGACAAACATAGATAGAAAAATACTCAACAAAATATTAGCAAAACAAATTTAAAAATACATCAAAAAGATCATCAATCATGGTCAAGTAGGATTTATTCCAGGGATGCAAGGATGCTACAACATTCAAAAATCCATCAACATCATCCACATCAACAAAAAGAACTACAAAAACCACATGATCATCTCCATAGATACTGAAAATGCATTTGACAAAATTCAACATCCATTCATGACAAAAATTCTGAACAAAATGGGTATAGAGGGCAAGTACCTCAACATAATAAAGGCCATATAAGACAAACCCACAGCCAACATCATACTTAACAGCGAGAAGCTGAAAGCCTTTCCTTTAAGATCAGGAACAAGACAAGGATGACTCTCTCCCCACTTTTATTCAATGTAGTTCTGGAGGTCCTAGCCACGGCAATCAGACAACACAAACAAAGAAAAGGCATCCAGATTGGTAAAGAAGACGTTAAACTGTCCTGTTTGCAGATGACATGATATTGTACATAAAAAACTCTATAGAACCCACTCCAAAACTACTAGATCTAATATCTGAATTCAGCAAAGTTTCACAATACAAAATTAATATGCAGAAATTCGTTGCATTTCTATACACTAACGATGAACTAGCAGAAAGAGAAATCAGGAAAACAATTCCATTCACAATTGCAACAAAAAGAATAAAATACCTAGGAATAAACCTAACCAAGGAAGTGAGAGACCTATACTCTGAAAACTACAAGACACTCATGAGAGAAATTAAAGAAGATAACAATAAATGGAAACACATCCCGTGCTCATGGATGCAAAGACCTAATATTGTCAAAATGGCCATCCTGCCTAAAGCAATCTACAGAGTCAATGCAATCCCTATCAAAATACCAACAGCATTCTTCAATGAACTGGAGTAAAAAGTTCTAAAATTCATATGGAACCACAAAAGACCCCGAATAGCCAAAGCATCTTGAAAAGGAAGAATAAAGTTGGGGGTTGGGGAGAGGTGTTACACTCCCTGACTTCAAGCTCTACTACAAAGCCACAGTAATCAAAATGATTTGGTACTGGCACAAGAACAGACCCACAGACCAATGGAACAGACTACAGAAAGCCCAAATATAAACCCAAGCATATATTGTCAATTAATATACAATAAAGGAGCCACGGATATACAATGGGGAATTGACAGCCTCTTCAACAGCTGGTGTTGGCAAAACTGAACAGCTACATGTAATAGAATGAAACTGGATTATTGTCTAACCCCATACACAAAAGCAAACCCAAAATGGATCAAAGACCTGAATGTAAGTCATGAAACCATAAAACTCTTAGAAAAAAAATAGGCAAAAATCTCTTGGACATAAATATGAGCAACTTCTTCATGAACATATCTCCTTGGGCAAGGGAAACAAAAGCAAAAATGAATAAGTGGGACTATATCAAACCAAAAAAGCTTCTGTACAGCAAAGGATACCATCAGTAGAACAAAAAGGTATCCTACAGTTTGGGAGAATATATTTATAAATGACATATCCGATAAGAGGTTGACATCCAAATTATATAAAGAGCTCAAGCCCCTCAACAAATAAAAAGCAAATAAGCCAAGAGCTGAACAGACACTTCTCCCAAGAAGAAATTCAGATGGCCAACAGGCTCATGAAAAGTTTCTGTACAGCAAAGGACACCACCAAGAGAACAAAAGGCATCCTTCAGTATGGGAGAATATATTCATAAATGACAGATCCGCTGAAGGGTTGACATCCAAAATATATAAAGAGCTCATGCACCTCAACAAACAAAAAGCAAAAAATCCACTTAAAAAATGGGCCAAGGATCTGAACAGACAGTTTTCGAAAGAAGAAATTCAGATGTCCAACAGACACATGAAAAGATGCTCCACATCGCTAATCATCAGAGAAATGCAAATTGAAACCACAAATGAGATATTACCTCACACCAGTTAGGATGGCAAACACAGAAAAGAATAGGAACAACAAATGCTGGCGAGGTTGTGGAGAAAAGGGAACCCTACTACATTGCTGGTGGGTATATAAATTAGTTCAACCACAGTGTAAAGCAGTATGGAGGTTCCTCAAAAAACTGAAAATAGAAATACCACTGGACACAGGAATTCCACTCCTAGGAATTTACCCTAAGAATGCAGCAGCCCAGTTTGAAAAAGACAGATGCACCCCTATGTTTATCACAGCACTATTTACAATAGCCAAGAAATGGAAGCAACATAAGTGTCCATCAGTAGAGGAATAGATAAAGATGTGGTACACATACACAATGGAATATTATTCAGCCATAAGACGAAAACAAATCCTATCATTTGCAACAATATGGATGGAGCTAGAGGGTATTATGCTCAGTGAAATAAGCCAGGCAGGGAAAGACAAGTATCAAATGATTTCACTCATCTGTGGTGTATAAGAACAAAACCAAAACTGAAGGAACAAAACAGCGGCAGACTCACAGAACCCAAGAATGGACTAACAGTCACCAATGGGAAAGGGACTGGGGAGGATGGGTGGGAAGGAAGGGATAAGGGGGAAAAAGGGGCATTACGATTAGCACACATAATGTAGCTGGAGGGGGGATACGGGAAGGGTAGTATAACACAGAAAAGACAAGTAGTGATTCTATAGCATCTTAGTAAGCTGATGGATAGTGACTATAATGGGGTATGTGGTGGGAACTTGATAATAGGGGAGGTCTAGTAACCATAATGTTGCTGATGTAATTGCACATTAATTATACCAAAATTTAAAAAAATTCTTTTTAATCTGTCCCTTCTCTGTGACCTTGCTGGGTTTCTTCCTTGCCTCATTTTCCCCTGAACCACTGGTATATAGAAGGGGCTAAAAAAATATGTGAACTGAAAAAAAACCAAAAAACACACATTCGTCCCACTTAAAGGCATGGGCCATATCTTACTCATTTTGGAGACTCAGAACTGAGCTGAAATACAAAGAATTATGGGCTAACATCTATTGAATGAATCATTCCAGAGTTCTCACACCTTAAACAAACTCTTAGGGACTAAGATCCAGGAATTCATTTTCAACAAGTTCTCTGGATGACTCCTCTATAACCAACCCAGCAACAGTCTGTAAGAACCACTGAATTAGTCAAAACTCAAATAGACAGAAACGGAATCAAATGACTTTCTTGCCACCTCTATCTATATAGACCTAGGATAAACACACCTCTCACAGACATAAATATAAATAATTATTGAATCATCTGCTACGATAGATACTCTTTGTCTAATTCAGCATCCTCAAATCAACATGCTGCAATAGCCACTTCTGCCTTGTACCTTTACAAACTATTCTCTATACATCTATAATGATCTTTCCAAAAGGCATATCAGAACGTAATACTTTCCCTTTACCCATCCCACATCCTAAGGATAGCTTCTCCTCTCATTTTATTTTAAGAACAAAACCCAAACTTCTTATTCTGGTTTATAAAGCTTTACATTTACATAGTCTGGTCCCTACCTATCCTCCTGGCCTTATCTACCATGCTCTCCTGCTCCTACTGTCTATACTGCAACCACACTGGCCTTTCTGCTCCTAAAATATACCAAATTTTTTCCAGCCTTAGAACTTTTGCATTTGCTATTTCATCTTTCAAAAATGTTCTTCTCTCTTATCTTAACATGGCCAGCCCATTGTTCCTATTCAGCCTCAGCTTACATGTCACCTCCTAGAGAAGCCTCCTCTAATCACTCAAGCAAAAAGTAGCTTTCTAGTTTCATGCTAGAATAGCACTTTATTTTAATTTCCTACAAGGTATTTACAAACTGATATTCTCCTGTTTATTTCTTCAATGTCTATCTCCCGTCCACAAAAATGTAAGCTACATGAGAGTAGTAAATCTGCCTTGATAGTAGATTCATGTATTACTTTATGCCCATGGCTTAGAACAGTGTAGCATATACAATAAGCAGGTACTCAATATATACTTATAATCAACCTACCCTTATTTGGGGATCATCACTGTATGAAGTTCTGATTTTATCAAAGAATAAATAGCAAAATTTCATTTTTTAATAAATATATCCATTGGGTAAATCCAATTTTGTCTCATTAATGGAAAAGTAAAATTCAAACAAAATTACTTTTCAGATATTCTACATCAGGGATTTATAAAAAATACCCAAAATGTCTAAAAAGTATACTGACACCAAAATCAAGTTATATTTTTCCAGTCACTATTTTAAAAAAAAAACTTCAAAGCTACTACAAATTTTATAGCACTACAAAGGAGAAAAACCCAAAAGTCCATCAACCAGTGAATAAACAAATTGTGGCATATCCATATAAAGAATACTACTAAGCAATAATAAAAAGGAATAAATTCTTTTTGAAATACATGACAACATGGCTGAATTGTAAGTTATGCTCAGTGAAAGAAACCATGCAAAAAAGAATACATATTGTATGATTCCATTTATATGATGTTATAGAATAGTGACAGAAAGCACATCAGTTGTTATCTGGGGGTAGGAAAACCAAGGAGAGATTAGAAAAGAGAACTAAGATTATGAAAGAGTACTAGAAATCTTGGGAATGATAGTTCATTATCTTGATTGTGGTGACTGTTTAATTAGTATGAACATATGACAAAACTTATCAAGCTTTAAATATGTGCACTTTAAATATGTGCAATTTATTGAATATCAATTATACCTTAATTTAGTTTCTTTTTTAATTTTTAAAAATCAGATTAGGTCACTCCCTTGCTTAAAATCTTTCAAAGGCTCTCCATCCTCCAAAAATAAAACACAGAAAATCTGTTGCAAGCTTAATTAGAACTGTAAAGAAGTTAACATTTAAATGGAATAAAGAGCAAACTAATGTCATAAACTGATTTCAATAGCTAGTAATCAAAGACATGGTTCAAGAGATTTTGATTTTTAATTTCAACAAAATATAAACTAAATTCACAGAAATTTTAAATTTCTACATCAAAAAGCTAAAAATGTGGCAAACTCACAATTACCTGTAGAAGGTGGTGATTTCTCTGGGTGTTTTGCATTTAAAAGTTTTCTGCTTATAAATATGTAACCACAAGGACATGATTTACATGCAACAGGAACCTGTAGGAAAAAAAAAAAAGTGTATATCATTACTATTTTTGTGATTTTAAGCTTCTTCTCAGTGTTTATGTAGTCTCCTGAACTGAATGATAGATTACTTGAAGTAGGAATCATAGATTTATTTAAACCCCACCATGTCCTTACAACAAACTATTTGAGATGAGTATTGTGTCCTATACATTTTCACCTTTTTGTTACAATATGAATATAGTAAATGTATGATAAACACATGCTGATATGAGTAACCAATAGAAAACCATAATAAGGTCACAGCCAAAGAAAATACATGTGATAAAAGGTAGCATTTCCTAAAATATTCGTTTGAAAGCAGTTATATGGGGCACAAATTAGAAAAGAGGGCATGATAGGGAAGTCATTTAAGCATCCCAGCATAAGATTATTAGGGCCCTACTAGAATTGTGAGGATAGAAGTGGAAAAGGTAGATCTTACAGATATTTCAAAAAGGGAAAGAACTGCAAATGATTCAGGTTCTAAAATGAGAGGGTAAAATGCCAACTACCACTGACAAAAAGAATAGTATACAACAACCAGTTTGAGGAGCAAAAGTATAGTACAAACAAAATAGACTGTAGAGAAAGTAGGAGTTGAGATCTAGGGTCTTACAGTGTCAGCTCCAGGAAGGACATTGGATAAAACAGTTAAGCTCTTTAGGCTTCTGAGTCTGTAAAATATTTGTAAGTGGTTCCTTTCTCCATTTCAAGTCTATAAATATTTTTTTAAGTCAAATACTACTGAAAATCATTGAAAGAAATTACAGATTTCTCCCCAGAATCTTTTCACTGGTATTAACTTTAATGATCTTTGGAATTAAGACATGTTCACTTAAAACCAGAAATTAATCTCTACAAAAAGTACTCACAGAATAATTATAGTCAGAAAACTGCAATTCCCTGTGTAAGATTAATTTTGTTTGCTTGTTGTTTTATTTGTGTAAAACTTCAGTTACAATTATAAAGCTTTTTATCAATTATCTAAAGAATACTTCATATTCTGGAATTTTTTTTGGCATAAAAATACTGAACAAAGGCTCTCTAGTTTATATTTAAGTAAAAATAACAATGAATCCTATAAAAATAAATGAACTCCAGATATGTCTAACAGCTTGTTTTATTAATGTGATGAGATTCTTTCAAACTGTGATAGAAAATGTAATGTTACATTTTTAATAGTGTAAAATCTGCCCAAAATATGTATGTGTCAGATTAAAAATTTCACATCTTCACAGAAATCAGGCTCACAAGTACTGACTCATTTCCTTTACACTAAACACATCACTAAGGGCATCCACAGTACTGTTAAATTGTTTTAAATTAATGCTATCCAAAAAACACAGAAACATCTGATGTTCTTAATCAAAAGATCCTTGCTCCTCAGCAAGCATTTTCTTCCAGCTACTGAACTCAATAAACTTAAATTTAGGTATCTGTCTTATACACGAGAAAATTATTAGCAACCCTTGTCCAGAAATAACAGAGTGCTGCAATTAGATGAGAAATGTACATTTGGCTTCAGGATGAAGAATAAACACTGACTAATTCAATTGATAGGTTGATTTTTCATCCCTTAATTAGTGTTTTATGCTCAAAATACATTCTGGTTACTGAGTTAAGTCAACCTAAACTCCTTTTTAAAATGGAAAGTTCCTTCCCCCACTCCAACCTTGGGAAAAAAACAACCAACTACCGGCACAACCCAGATCCTATAAAAAGAATTAGAAAGGACAGACTATTTAAGTAATATCAATCTCTTCAAATTATAATATAAATTGGATTTTAAACAAACACCCTAAATGTCCCTCAAATTTTAGTTGTAATGCCAAAGATAATAGCAATGAAAGTTCTCATGCTATGCTCTCAGGACTTTATAATGAAAAAAAAACACAAAATTTTGTTTACTGATGGCTTATTCTACATCAATTTATTCCTTAAAGAGTACACTGAAGTTTTTACATCTTTTGCAAGTAAAACAGGTTAAAAAAAACCCTGCAACAAATAAAATCTTATATTGTCTCACTGATTTTATAAAGCTCAAAAATAACAGAGAACTCATTTACATTCTTTGCTGCTGAGAGAATCAAAGCCACCTAGAAATAGACATGTTTGCTATATGTCACATTAAATTTCCTATAAATGGGGGAAAAAAGCTAATCTATCTTAAAAATAGAGGCACTAACAGAAACACAAAGATGCCAGAAAACTAACAAGAATCTTGACTACTACTACACAAAATGACATAGTAATTTAAGTTTGTGGATGTGAAACCCTTTGAAAATCTAAAGTATTAAAGTTTAGATGTTTCAGAACTATATCTTCTTTTTTTTTCTTTTGGTATCATTAATATAAAATCACATGGGCAACACTGTGGTTACTAGATTCCCCCCATTATCAAGTCCCCACCACATAACCCATTACAGTCACTGTCCATCAGCGTAGTAGGATGGTAGAGCCACTACCTGTCTTCTCTGTGCTATACTGCCATCCCCGTGCCCCACCCCTACGTAATGGGTGCTAATCATAATGCCTCTTATTCCCCTTCTCCCTCCCTTCCCACCCAACCTCCCCAGCCCCTTTCCCTTTGGTAACTGCTAGGCCCTTCTTGGAGTCTGTGAGTCTGATGCTGTTATATCAGAACTACATTTCCAACAGAGGCATGTAAAGGCTGTATGTCATAAAGCAACTGAAAATCTAGGTCTTTTTGTTTGCTGATCTTGATCAGATTTTAAACTTCACACAAAACATATGTAAATCTACTCAATTAGGGTAACCTCCTCAAATGTTAAAGAGTTTACATTTATGTTTATAAACTCTATCTAAATTTTAATTTAATATTCATGAGGCAACTTAGAATTAACATCAGTATTCCAATATTGTTTTAATGGCTTTCTGTATTATAACTTTTTTTCTCATTTGTAACTTCTACTTTTCTTAAACAGGCTTTTATGATCAAAAAATTAGATCAATTATTTTCTTCAATACAGTTCCTTGTAGTAAAAGATAAATTACTTTTAAGAATCATCAGAAATTTTCATTAGTCTTCATGTATGCTGAATTTAGAATAAAGGACAAATGAACAAACATTTAATATTATTAGGTAGTAGCTTGCTATAAGGGTCATAACCTGCAATGAATTGTGTCCTCCCCACAACCCCAATTTATACACCCAAGCCCTAACTCCCAATGTGATGGTACTTTGAGGTGATTAGATTTAGATAAGGTTGTGAGGGTGGGGCCTTTGTCATGGGATTAGTGCCCTTATAAAATACCAGAAAGCTCTGTCTCTCAGCCAGATCTTGGACTTCCAGCCTCCAGGACTGTAAGATAGTAAGTTACTGTTGTTTGAGCCACCCAATCTATGGTACTTTGTAATGGCACCTGAAAGTGGGATTGTGTGTGTATAATAAAATTAAAAAATCTTTCCAAATAAATGATCACATTTTATTGAACAGTTACAGAGACTCCTACAAGTTTATTATCCTTTCCTCTTTAACCAGGATATTAAAAACTGGTTATTTCCCCCAAAAGGTTACTTTATGACAAGTAAAACAAGGTCAGGATTTGCAATAATTTATGCCCTACAGAAATTGGAATGCATAATGCATACCATGTACAAGTTATACTTCTACACAATTAACTGTAATAAATGGAAATGATTTAAGTATTGAAATAATCTCCTGCAAAGAGTCTTAAATTGCAAAGTCCAATTTTGTGAGAATTTAACAAATCTGGTTTAAACAGCAAGAATGGAAGTTTAGCTCTGGGGAAAAACCTGACAAAAGTGTTTTTATACTGCATACTCAATAAACTCGTAATATCAATAAACTGTAATTCTCCTTGCAAATCTTTCTCTGATCAGCATTTCTACCACTTTTCATAAATGATATTTAATAAAACACATAACTTTGTTATAAGATTTGATCAACCTATAGGATTAGTCCTTGAAGACTGAACTAAAATCAGCTTATTAAAAAATAAGTCATTTCAAATTACTCCTGATTCTTAAAGAAAGTAGGGGGAGGGAAAAGGGGAGGAGAGAGGTAGTCATTTTGAAAAAATTTCTCAGCGGAAAAAGAAGAATCACACCCAGATAGATCTACATGTAGCATGAAACAGGCCCTTACAAATGGTTTTAATTGAAAGAGTTTTAACTCTTACAGTGAAAGGTTTACAGGAACGTCTATTATTCTAACAAAGAATGAGGCATGCTTAAACTAAGAAACAATGAGGTTTTAAAAATTACAGCTATGAAACCATTAAGCCTGTGTAGAAAGCAGTCACTTAAAATTCATGAAATCACACACATATTTTTTTAGTGATCTGCAAGCGAGAAACGCCAAAATTTTAATAGTGTGTACCGTGGTGGGTAAGGGAAGTGAGGAGCGCCCAGAAGGGAAAAGTTTCAACAGGGGCATTCATTATTCAGTAATATTCTATTAAAAATGATACTAAAATAGGATTCATGATTACTTACGCTAAAAATATACCTAGGAGGGAAAAAAATCCAAATTCGCCGAAATACATTGCGGCCCCTTTTGCCACATTTAAGCGTTCACGCAGGTCGCGGTGGGGACAGTTTTGGGGGCCCACCACACACATACGACGGAAACAAAGCAACCCTGCGCGGCAGGAGCCTGGACTCGGAGTCCGGCACATCAGGCATCCGCGTCTGGGCAGAATGGACCGGGCTCCTGTCCTTGGGCCTCTGCCCCCAGCCTCCCGCCACTGTCACCAGGAGCCGTCCAGACCACTCAGCGAGGGTCGCGAAAGGGAGTCCGTCGGCGATTCACGCCCCCCTCCGGCGCGGCCGGGCCACAAGACAGACACTTGGGGGTCTGTCCACTGCCAGGTGGGCACCGGCCGGAATGCGGCCCGTGGCGTTTCCCCGGCAACCCCCTGGCTCAGCTCGGGCTCCCACCGTGGCCTCCGAGCCCAGTGGCCCGCCCGCCCGCTCCGCCGCTAGGAACCCAGGGAGGCGGCCTCTCCACAGCCAACAGCCACCGTCAACGGTCCGCCGCCCGCGCGAACCCGCCCCACCGGTCTGTGTACCGGGTCCCCGGCGCCCACCTGTTGGTCGCACTCGGGACATGATTTGGTGGCCATCTTCACTTTCTTGGCTCGAGTGGCAGACATGCTCTTCTCCAGTGGCGGCGACTCGGGCTCCACCCCTAGTACCTCAGCAGCCTGGCCTCCAACCGCCAGGTCCCCGCAGGCCAGACCGAGGTTCTGGCCCGTAGAAGAGCTCGCGCGTGCGCGAACTCGCGCAAGGCCTGCTTGCCGAAGGGGCGGAGCGAGGCGTGCGCCGGATCCCCGAAATCGCGGAGCGCCCTCCCACCCACTCCACACCGGTCCGCGAGCGCGTCCCCATTCTCACGAGGAGGTGGGCTGGGTCGCCAGGCGGCACATTGGCCACACCTTCTCTCGGCCGGGCGGGCATATGGGAGCGTGACTCAACAGTGGCGGACGTCGGTCTCGGCCAATGAATGTGCAGATAGGGCATGTCGTAGTACTGAGCCACACCCCTTCTACGGGAGCAAGGAACTAGTGTGAAACAAGTGAAGGGTTAAAGAGCTTGGCATAGATGTTGGCATTTAATAAACTTCAGTAAATGTTTGCAGAAAGAATTGTAATAGACATCTGATGAGTCTACGTGCCACGCCCTGGACTCGGAGCTACAAGATACGAAACTCGTTAGGTCAAATATTTATTGAGGGCCAATTCTGCCAGACAAATGTGAATAACTAGGTATTTCCAGCCCTCAAAAAACACGCAGTCTAGTGATGTAGACGGTCTAACATTCAAATACAACGGAGTTGGGTTGTTGATGGGAGGAGTAAATCAGTTGACTATTTCAAGCATATCAAAATTTAAATTCCACCTAGCCTTTGATCCAGCAATCTCACCCCTAATTAAAAAGATATTCTCAACCATTTGGATTTGAAATGTGCTCAAAACCATTTGTGCAGATGTTATTTGTCAGAGCAAAATCAGAAACAGCCCAGTTCATCAAATACTGCTTAAGTAAATTAATGTATGCATAAAACAGAGTATCACTGCAGCCCTTCAAAAGAATGAGATTCATAAGAAGATACAATTGTCACCAAAATACAACATAAATTGGAAAAACAAAGTACAGAGCATTTTAATAAAATTTTTTAAACAATTTTAAAATATATTTTTATTTGCATCTTCATTAAGAAACTGGGAAAGGAACTGGAGTCCAGGGATAGGAAGGAGACCTACTTTTCTGTACAATATCCTATCGTATTATTTGGATTTTCTAGTAGGTTAACCTAGTATGGCCTTTCCCCCACAAAAAGGGAAAAGGATTTGTACGCAGCTACTTAAGGGGCCACCTGACCCACTGTTGAGGGTGTTGGCAGGCCTAGGAGGCTTTCTGGAAGAAGTGTCTCCAAAGTTGAAACCCCAAGGATGTCAGGTGGAGTTGCCCAATGGTGAAGTCCTACCAGGCAGATGCAATACAGTAAGCAAAGGCAGGGAGGTCAGGAGTTTTTTGTGAGCATACCAAGTGCAGGGCAGAGTTAAGGCTGGAGAGATGTGCTTTATCCAGCCAGCTATGCAGGGTCTTTGCAACCATGGGAAGGAGTTCAGGCTTCATCCTAAGGATTGTGGAGCAATAAGGGTTTTAAACTAGGGGATACAGGATTAGATTTGAAACTGAGAATGACTGGTTCAGCAAAATGCTTCAGACCTCAAGACTTGGGAGAGGAAAAACAGTAAAGTAAGAGGACAGGATTCAAAAATATGAAGGCCATATTAGCTAAACTTAAGGAGCTTATTTTTATGGGGGAGGAGTGGTCAGGGACATTTATAGTATGAATGTCAAGTTTCTATTCCAAAGGACTGGAGGAATAGTAGTAGAGGAAAATAGTATCTCCATTTTCCCTGAAGGAGAACCCAGGGCCTGAGTTTTCTGAAACTTTCATTTGAATAGGTCCATTTTTCTGGAAATCTCCCAAAAAGGACACTTGGTGGGGGTGGATATTAAGGAAGAGGTATTTAACTCTGTGGGATTTTTGAAATGGTTAATGTGGCAGACACTGACAGTTGGCTGATATCAATTCCATCCAGGTTCCCCCTTCTCTCTAGCCATCTTCTAACTAGGAGTGGTCATGTATTGTTCTCTCTGGCCAACAAAATATAAACTAAGGTCTGCGGAGTGGGATTTTTGGAAAGGTTTTGAGTTTTGGATAAGAATGTACACATTCATGTAAAAAACTTTGTCCTTTCACACTTTTCCCGTCGGGACTGTGAACATGAGGCCTTAAAGCAGACATGTACAATAAGATAATGAAGTGCTCTTTTAGTTATCAATTATTACATAACAAATTACTCCAAAACTTAGTGGCTTAAAACAGTATTATCTCAGGTTCTGTGGGTTAGGAATCCAGGTATGGTTCTGCAGTCTCATCTGAATTCTCAACTAGGAGGGAATCCACTACTAAGCTCACTCATTTGATTGTTGGCAGGCCCCAGTCCCTCACACACAGAGGCTCTTCACAAAGCTGCCTCAAAGCATGGCAACTGGCTTCCACTAGAATGAGTGATATGAGAGAACATGCCACCTTCTTTTCATAACCTAATCTCAGAAGCAGTATCCCATTACTTTTGCTGTATCCTATTATAAGCAAGTCAGTAAGTCCAGCCCACACTCAATAAGGTATTACACAAGGACAAGAATATCAAGAGGCAGGAATCTCTGGGCACCATCTTAGAGGCTGCCTACCCCAGGTGCCATGCATGCAATTATGATAAATCCACTAAAACGGAACAGAAAGCTAGAAAGTGCGTGGGTCCCATACAGCACTGCTGAATAGCTACCCCAGCCATGGCCTTGGCCTGCCTCCCTAGATTCCTTGTAATGTGAAAGTGGGAAAATACCTCAAAATAAGACACAGTTCCACACCCACCAGAATAGTTAAAATTAAAGACTAATAACATCAAGTGAAAGGGGATATAAAATGGTATAATCACTTTGTAAAAAGGTCTAGGAAAACTTAAGTATAAATATGGCCAATGACCCAATATTTCCAGTCTTAGGTATTTATCCAAGAAGAATGAAAACATGTCCACAAAAAGAGCTGTTCAAGAATATTCATAATAGGCCCAAACTGGAAAAAAAAACCACAAATATCTGTCAAACAGGTAAAAAGATAAATTATGGTATGTTCATTTAATGGAATATAAATCAACTTTTAAAGGGTACAAATTATTGTGTTGATACAATAAGACAAAATGGATGAACCTCAAAAACATTATGCTTACTAAAAGAAGCCTTACATAAAAGAGCACATACTCCTTTTATAGGCAGTCTAGAACAGGCAAAACTATTCTATGGTAGAAAAAAATCAGAGCAGTGTTTGTCTCTTGGGGGGGTAAGTGTATAATAAAAATAAAAAGGGGTATGAGGGAACTTTTGGGCTGATGGTAATAATTATCTGTATCTTAACAGGGATTTGTGCTACACAACTTACTGCCTTTGTCAAAACATAATAATACACCTAAGATTTGGGCATTTTATTGATTTAAATTTTACCTCAACAAGAACCTTAAGCAAATATCAAACTCTAGGTAATATGTGTTTAGGGTAAAATGTGTTAATTATTGCAACTTTCACTGCAAAGCATTAAAAAAAAAAGGATGGCTACATGAACAGGTAAGTAGTAAAGTACAATAAAATGTCAATGGTAAAATCTAGGTGGTTGGCATACAGGTGTTGACTATAAAACTCAAGTATTTTGTATGTTTGAAAATTTTCGTAAGTTATAGGAAACAAAGCCTACTTATTTAAGCCACTGTTCATTAGGTTTTCAATTATTTGTTGTCATACATATTTGTTATTTAAATGATACCCATACAAGGGTTTTCTACAAAGTGCATGGAAGTAGCTGTAACAGTAATTCACTTAACAAACATTTACTAAGTAACTAGTTATGTGCTGGATGTTGTGGTCTTGATGGAGCTACAATATTGTGAGCAAAACAAAATTCCTCTGTTGTGAATCTTACAATCTAGCACAGAAGATAAACACATACTATCACACAAATAAATATATAACTGCTATGATCACAGTTATGAAGGAACCATACTGGGGCTTTAAGGCCATGGGCAAGGGGACCTGACCTGTGGAGGCATGGGGCAGGGCAATCAGGGAAGACTTCCTGGAGGAAACAGGCATGCTGGGTAGAGTTAATGAGATGAAGAGGAGTAGCAAATACTAAGACAGAACGTATAGCATGGGCAAATTAGCTGAGGTAAAAGGAAGTGAAAAGAGGCTATTGTGGCTGAAGCACTGAAAGCAAAAGAGAGAAGCCAACATACTGAGGATGGGCACTGGAAAAGCCCACATTCCACTGGCTTTTAATGCTGGTTCTAACTTTGCTCAAGATCTTTCATGTATGCTGCTAAAGTGGCTGTAGATGTTCTAGTTTCACAATAAGCAATTACACCAGGCAGGACCTTCTTTAGTAACAGATATCACGTATCTGAAAAACCAAAATGGCTATTCAAAATCACTTTGTAATCAGGTCCCAAGCTACCTCAGGAAAATAGGGGCAGGGGAGCGGGGGAAATGTGGCAGCCTACACCTCCACTCCTTTCTTTGACACTCAAACCAAAATTTCCACCAAAGAGTCTTTTAAGTTTTTCTTCCTTTTGTAGGAAAATAGAATGCAAGCATTAGGATGCTTGGCAGATCTTCGCATAAAATTTCTCATTTTTCTTAAAAATCCAATATAGCTCTTAAAGAGTTTACACCACAATGTTGTTCATGCAAAACCTTCATAAGATTGCATATTAATGATATTTTAATAAATAAATAAGCTGACATGTAAAAAAAATTGAGTCATAAATGTATAGTTCCTCAAAACAGCAGCAGACTCACAGACTCCAAGAAGGGACTAATGGTTACCAAAGGGGAGGGGTGTGGAAGGGCAGGTGGGGAGGGAGGGAGAAGGGGATTGAGGGGTACTATGTTTAGTACACATGGTGTGGGGATCACAGGGAAGACAGTGTAGCATGGAGAAGGCAAATAGTGAATCTGTGGCATCTTACTACACTGATGGACAGTGACTGCATTGGGGAATGGGTGGGGACTTGATAATATGGGTAAATATGGTAACCACATTGTTTTTTTCATGTGAAACCTTCATAAGTGTATATCAATAATACCTTAATAAAAATGATTAAATTGGGAAAGAATATGAATAAATAAATACATACATAGATAGATAGATAGATAGATAGATAGATAGATAGATAGATAGATAAATGTGTAGTTCCTATTTTTCCAAGGCAATGGAGAGATGGTCACCACAATGACGAAAATGTAGTCATTTTGTGCTGATTTTTGTTCACAGCATTTACACTCCATACTTCCAAAAAGGAGTCACCTATGATTTAAAAAAGAAAAAAAGGTACAAATAACAGCCAAAGCAGACAAAGATCAGTGCCTCATCTATGTCCTGAAAGAGAGCTTTTCTTTTTCTCCTTCATAGCCATATGCACTGGGTCAGGGAGCACTCATTGGAGAAAAGCCCCACAGGCTCAGTGACTCAAGAAGCCAGTCCTCCTTTACAGATGGGTATCTCTGCTTCACTGAGCACTGAACTCAGCCCAACTGGCCTATGCTGGATACAGAGGGGCCTCCAGAGGTGTCCCACACCTTGCTTTGCCTCCTTTGTTTTTCCTCTCATGGTATTAAATACTGCATATTGGGCATCTACTCTGTGCTTGTGCTTTATATTAATTGTACCTCTTTCTTCCCAATGTGGTATCATAAGCCTCATTTTACAGTTAAGTAAAGTTCAGGGAGCATATCAGTCAGGAATCTTTCTTTTGCCAAAATGGAAAACTCAACTCAAAGTGGCTTAGGCAAAAAGGGTATTTACTAGCTCACATATCCCAAAGAACACTAACAGTAGTACTATTTCAGACACAGCTGGATCCATTTACTCACAGAACCACAGAGCCCATTTCTGTCTACACTCTGTTCTGTCTACACCCCGTTAGAGTTGGAAAGGAAGATTACTAAGATAACAACATCCTACATCTATCTGCTCCTTTTCCTGTCTCCTCATGTTTCTTCACTGCTTCTGTTTGGCTTTCCTACCCATCCTTGAACCACTTACTTGAGCTGGGCAAGGACAACCACAGACTGTTTTAGACCAAAGACTAGCATTCAGCCCTGGAAGTCTGACAAGGGGTCTGAGAACTGAGGGAAGGTTGGGTGGCCACACAATTAACATCCAGACTAAGTAACTAATGACCCTATTTTCTTTCACATTAGGCAAGACACTGCTCTCACCCTCTGTGACCATTTTGTCTCACCCTTGTGAGGGGGGGAGAGGGGAGGGGACTGGGGTGGGTGGGTAGGTGAGTGGATATATGGATGTGTGGATGGATGGATGAGTAAGTCCTTCCCAACTTCTGGTCTTATTCCTCCTATCCTATCAGTCCGAGCTAAATCAGAAGCTCCACTCTCTTGAGAGTACAAACAGGAAGTCTACAGAAGCACTGAATAGATTGCTTGACAAATCCAAGGACAGAGAGGTAAAATGAGCAGGTGAGTCCAGACCAAGGCATCCAGCTAAGGGTACTGAAATTAGGACTGAAAGCAGCCTATGTACTGCTCACCAAGCCATGTGTCAAACTTGAGGGCCCCTCTACTCGAATGAAGGGACACCTTTTTTTTTTAATTTGCAGTAAAGCACCCCATGTGTGGTCTCTAATCTGCTGACAGTCAATTGTACTTTACAGGATTTCCATTCCATCTCTCCCTCCATTCCTCCTCCTTCCTCCCACCATCTGTCTGTCTCTCGTTTCTCTCTACCTCTTTCCACGTAAAATCCATTCCAGGATAATCTTCCTCACCTCTTACCTTTCAGAATTCCTTAACTCTCCTTTCTTCCATGGGATAGACACAGCAGGTTGTCAGGAGGGAGAAAGAAAAGAGGACCATCCAGTTATCTTTACCCAAACTAATCCCTGGATGTGAAAAAGAAGAACTGCAATGTAGCTACAAAATCATAGAGGTCATTAATTATAGAATCTGATAAGCCACCTATATTTTTAAAAAATATGTAACTGAAATGGAAAACATATGAAAGAAGGGACTGACTCTATGTGACACGGTAAGTATTATTTTCCAAAAGCATTTCTATACCATGTCTGCTGTGTGCATGGTTTTTGGTGTTAGAAACATGTTTTCATTTCTTTATTCAAAAACTATTTTCTGAGAGCCTTGATGAGGCTTCTCATCTCCCTGAAACCCTTTTTACCAGCTCTTTGCATGGCTGACTCCTAAGCATCTTGCACACACACATATACTCTGGTTGCTCCACATTCTTCAGTGAAGAAGCCCAAAACGCAGGAACAGCTTGTAGCTTAACAGTACTTTTAAGTACCTTTCAGTCTTCATGATCTGCCAGGGTCTGGGAAATGATCATATGAACCAGATTAAGATTATAGAACCACATGAAATTGCCTTTTATAGGTCAAAAGGAAATATTATATTTTGAGAAAAAGAAAAGCTGTATTCAACCAAAACATGCCCTGTTACCATTAACTGTTTCCCCAAATGATGTTTCCCCAAATACTGAATATTTGGAGAAATATTTATAAAATTCAGCATTGCTAAAATTTATTCAAATTCTCAAATTATTGTTTCCTTATTGGAGAATACAGTTTCTTAGAAAGAGTTCCAAATGACAAATGGCACTATGTTGAAAAAAGGTCAGGTGAATATGATGGATGTGGTAAAACTTCTCAGTCCAACTCAGTAACTTCCCTATGGTGATTTCTGATTTCTGTGGTCAAATGTAACTGAAAAGCATAGATCCCTCTGCTAACAAATGCAGAGTGTTTTTAGATCAATTTTAGGTACATAATTTCAACTTCTTGACACTAAATGCTACCTGTTGGGTTAAAAAGATGGGTTAAAAATTACGAACAAAATATCCTTTTTGCAGACCACCCATTGGCTTTATTCCAGAACCTTTTTTTGGTTGCAATGATGATTTTAACATGTTTGAGAACTTCATCAACATCTACTCACAGTCCAGCTTACTTTCAATTTAATGTTTTTTATCAAAGCTTATGATACTACCCCAAATAGGTCTTTTGCTTTTTCAAATCTTAAGGAATGAGCATATCTCTAACCATCTCAGTTTATGATCATCCATCAACTGGTGTAGTACCTACCCAATTGTCCAATTTTTTTTTTTACCTTTCCTATTGCAGCCAGATGTTGAGAAACTGTTGTAGCTGAAACCCCTAAGTCTGCTGCAAGGTTTCGAATTGCTGTTTTGGGGTTGGCTTCCACCATGGCTCTCAATTGATCTTCATTTAAAACAGATTTGGGTCCCCTTGAGGCTCATTTTTCAGACTCAGATCCCCAGAACAAAAATTTTCAAACCACCACCGGATAGTCCTCTCACTAACAGAGCCTTCTGCAAACACAGAACTGATGTTTATACTTGCTGTGGCTGCACTATGTCCTAGTTTAAATTCATATAAAAAAAGTATTCGCAATTCTTTCAAAGATATGGTATTGTTCACTTCTGTGAAGAAAATAAACAACAAATAGTCATCAAGAAACTGAAGAGCACAACTGAAAATAGACCTGATCTCAACTTTAACAATCATGGGCAAGATTTAATTGGTCAAATATGGGCAATTCCATTTGGAGGATACATGTTTTTATCATTGTACTCTGCTGCCATCAGTTTATATCAGGTGGGTATTAGTTTTAAGTCTTCTGGCTTTCCAGTAGCAATATTATTTCCAGTAATTTTACGAGCATCTACCATGGAAAAAATGCTTTTGAACCAAAACGAGTTGTGCTTTTAAATTCAGGAACTCAATGAATACCAAATAATTGTTTCAATACTATCAAATAAAATCTCAGATCAGTTTAATGGTTAGAAAATAATTCTCCCAAAATGGGTTGATAAATAAAAATTTCTTATGTTTTCTAACAGAAGAATTTTTAGGTGTTCTTCTTCCCTGTCTTGTATCATCTGAGTGACTGCTACTGCACAACCTCTTTATGTTTTCTAAGTCCTTACTTACTATAGAATTTATCTCCTTTTGCCTCTGTATTTCACTCTTTATTTCATATTTAATTTTGGTATAGATGAATAAAAATAACATGTTTTAGGAGTGTGGAAAAACTGCCTAAGCTCGAATTTTCCTTGTAGTAGTCATATATTCTAAATGACACTAAGAGTCCACTGCCTAGTGTATTTATAAAAACTAAAACCATAAATAAAATACATTTCACTAAACAAACCAAAGGGTTTTTTAAAAAAGTAAGAAGAGGGATTCAGCAGAATTCATGTATAGACAATGTCTGGGATGAATCTTGGGGAAGAAAGGGGGTTTTTTCCAGCAACTTTAATTCAAACTTCTTTTAAGTACATAATCCTCCATAGCAACTTTCCTGCCTTTTTCCTCCTCTCTGCTTCCAAAACAGTGTAGTGGAAAGGGAAGGAGTCTCTATTCCTTTTTGCCCTCACTTAAATTCTAAATTAAGCTATTTCTAATTAATCAATAATTAATCTATTATAAAAATATCTGACCTCAACCATATTTTACTGTTATCAAAAAGAAACAGAAAATGTATGTTGCAAATATAAGACAATTATTAGGAAAGTAGCTTTATTTTAATCCTTAATATACTGAAAGCAATTACCCCATTGTTCCTAATGGAATAAAAATAGGGAAGAGATTTCCCATTAATATAGATTTAACTGAGGCAAGATGCCACCTCTTTCACTTCAAACAAACATGCTAGTTAAGATACAACCATAAAACAAAACTTGTTTTAATACAGCCTAATCCAAAAGCAAAAGAGAAAATTTCCCAAATGCATAAAAGGAATACAGTCAAAGCCATAGTGGTGAAGGGGCACATGAAGAGCATTCCTATCTCAGACCATACATACAATATAATGGGACAATCTGAAACAGACATTTTAAGACAAACTAAAATAGGACATTTGAAAGCATGCCTTAAATGTTCAAAGAGGAAACAAAGAAATAGATTTCATCAAGCAAGAACAGGCCATTGTTAAAGAAAAATTTCACATTGTATTTAGTTGTCATGTCTCCTTAGTTTCGTCCAGTTTCACAGTGCCTCATCTTTCCCTGTCTTTCATGACCTTAACCTTTTGAAGAGTTACTTGGTCAAATGCATCTTATTTAGGTTTTTTTATTATTAGACTAAGGTTATGCATTTTTGGCAAGAGTACACAGAAATAAGGTATCCTTATCAGTGCATCAAATCATAGTTTTCATAGGTCAATATATTTTATTATTGTGATACTGTCCTTGATTACTGATTAAGGAAAATTGTGGCAAGTTTCATCCCTATAAAATTACTATCTTTCCTTTTGTGATTAATGAAGATCTTGGATACTTTGAATCAATACAAATTTTACTTTAACACAAATTTTCACTCATTTTACCATCCATCAGTGGATCTTGTCCATAACAATTAGTAGCGTATTCAGCTAATGCTGACTTTCTACTTTGCTCAATCCTTCCACAGTTATTAACTGGAATTCTACTATAAGGAAGATTGTCCCTTTTCCCCATTTTTTAAATTTATACCAATATGGATTCATGGATATTTATTACCCTACAGATTATAATCCAATCATATCATGATTTCTTTTGCTCAAATTTGGCTATTAGTTCCAGCACTGGCTATTAGAAGGTCCCTTCTGGCAGGCGCTCATGTTCTTTCAACAATATCCCACCCCCACCCTGCCTTTTAAAGTATTTTGTTATTATCTGGCATGCCTAAAGATGTTACAGGCACTTTAAGTATTTTCCCTATCTCTGTCCTGGAATCTACCACTTCTCTAAAGAGCCCTACTTCCTTTTATGGAAAACTATACTTAGAAATAAAATTGGTATTAAGTTTATTCATTACTGCTGGGTGTCACTGCTTCTAGTGAGAATGCAAACTGTTATACCCTTACTGAGGGGAAATTTGGCAGTACCTAAAGACATTACGTATGTATTACTTACCTATTGTGTGTGGGTTTAATGTGTGCATATAACCCACACATATATTGATAACTCATGTTCCAATCTAAACTGACGGACTTGATGTTAGCCTACTCCTTTCCTTATTTATGAGAAACCCAGTTATCATCTAAATCATATATACTTATTTGTTCAGTTTGAGTACACAAATAAGGCAGTTTCACAACTCTGAGCGTATAACCCTATGAAAAATACACTTACTGATTAGATTACAACATTACTGTATAAGCCCTTTTGTCTTTAACATTACAGTATCCAGTCAAGATGGTAGTTCCCAAAATTATTTGGGTTAGGTCTTTTCTTCCCCAACCCCTTCAATATCATTCATTCTTCACTCCTGCTACTCAGTTCCATCTCCATGTTTCTTTGCTCTCCATTTCCACCTACCCACTATAGATTACCAATCACTTTAGATTCTGGTTTATCCTCCCAGCACTGATTTTCTACAAATGAGCTGATACATGTGTATTGTCATATCTCCTTCTTTCTTTCTTTTACAAAAGGTAGTATAGGATAGTGGACAGCAATATGGAGGTTCCTCGAAAAACTAAAAACAGAAATACCATTTGATCTAGTTATTCCACTCCTAGGAATTTACCCAAAGAAAACAAAATCCCTGATTCAAAAAGATATATGCACCCCTATGTTTATCACTTCACTGTTTGCAATAGCCAAGATACGGAAGTAACCTAAGTGTCCATCAATAGATGAATGAAGACGAGGTGGTACATATACACAAAGGAATATAATTCAGGTCTAAAAAGAAAAGAATTCCTGCCATTTCTAACAACATGGATGGACCTAGAGGGTATTTAGCTCAGTGAAATAAGCCAGGTGGAGAAAGACAAATACCATATTATTTCACTTTTCTGTGGAATATAAAAACAAAGCAAAACAAAAGGAAGGAAACAGCATTAGACTCATAGCCACTGA